ATGATGAAGAATTTTTTTAAGATATTTAGTTATTTTATGGTTATTCATTATTCTTTCTTTTCAAACTTACAGATACTTCAAAAGATAATAAAATATTTTATGTGGAGCAAGGCTCTGAACAATTTAAATTTTAAGAATGAATCATTTCCTGTTTCTTTGCCTCTATTGGACACACATACTGATTCTTAGTAGGAAAATACTTTTGCTTTTGCACTTTGTTTTCCTTTATTGAAGTTTTAATTTGTCCTTGAGATTGGAATTTAAAAGCTCATGATGGTATGATGGTAATAATAAAATTACTTTGGTTGATGAAGTATTTTTAATATTTTCATTTTATGTATATGAGTGTTTTACATGCATGTAGTACATCCATGTGTGTAATGCCCATGGAGGCCAGAAGAAGGTGTCAGATCCTCTGGAACTGGAGTTAAGGACTGTTATTAGCTGCCATGTGGCTGCTAGGAGCTAAACCTGGGTCCTCTATAAGAACAGCCAGTGCTCTTAACCACTGAGCTATCTCTACAGCCCCTGATTAAGTGTTTCAGAAAATGCTCTTTAGGGGCTAGAGAGATGGTTCAGCAGTTAAGAGGACTGACTGTTCTTGCAGAGGACCTGGGTTCGATTCCCAGCACCCACATGGCAGCTACGAACCATCCTTAACTCCAGTTCCAGGGGGATCCGACGCCGTCTTCTGACCTCCACTGCATTGTGCTGCAGTCACATGCATGCAAGCAATACACTCATACACATAAAAATAAATAAGATATTATTTTAGAAATGCTCTTTAACACTAACAGTTACAGTTTATTTAGTTCTATAAACTGTATATCCTGCACTGTGTAAGCCTATATCATTTATTCCTTAAAACAATCCTATGAAAATAGCATTATTATCTTTTTGTAGAAGGGCAAACTAAAATTAGGTAAGCTTAAATGTGCAGACCAATGTCATACAGCTAATAGCTGAACTTTACACTCAGGTGTCTTTGACCCATTTTATCTTCCATCCCATTTGTGTTGAATCTCTGCATACCCTGTATAGCCCAGTCATGTAGATCAAATTTGTTTAAGAACTTATTTATCTGGGACTAGAGAGATGACTCAACTGTTAAGAGCACTGGCAGCTCTTAGAGAGGACCTGGGTCTGGTTCCCAGCACCCACATGGTGGCTAACAACTGTCTGTAACTCCAGTTCCAGGGAATCTAACACCCTTTTCTGACCTCCACAGGCATTACATGACATGGGTGTTCTTATATACATGCAAGCAATATACTCATACACAATAAAATAATTTTAAAAATAAAATATCTTAAAAAATACTTTATTCAGCAATTTTGATAGATGCTGTTTTAAACACTAATAAGATATAACTACTTTTCACATATTGTTCATTAAAATTGGTAAATACAATTAAAAATTCATTTTCTAGTTATACTAGCCACATTTTAAATGTTTGAGTAGCTACATCATAGGACATTGTGTATCTATCCATATCTATGACATTTCCATCATTACAGAAAACTTTGTACTCAGTTGTCCAGTAATCTTTAAAAGACATGCTGATCATGTAATAAAGTGTAAAAGATGGCTAGACATTCTGTTTAGATTGAGTGTGGTCTATTTTGGTTGTTTCTTTAACTTCTTAATCTTTTTATGATCTGTAGAATTTGAAATTTTGTGTGGACTCATTAATTTTAACTAATGAAGTTATATGAACAATGAGGTTGTTCATTGTTGGATCTTGGGAACTATTGTAAAAAAGAAAAAAAAAACATATAATTCTTACAGTGTTCTGGTATTTAAACGGGCTTCCTAGGCCCTTTGAGTTTTAAATATTTTAAATTCTTGAGCAAGAATTATGTCAATAATAAAATAGAGAACAGAATTTTTGAAGCAGAGAGTTGTTTTCTGTTCTAATCTTACATTTGTTTTCTTCCATGTTTTAAGTCCTTTGAGAACATTTCTGTGGACTCAGTGGACTTACCCAATGAAAAAGGTAATGTTCAAGGTGCCTTTAACTTTTATTGAACATTTTGCAGTTTCTTTCAATAATTTTTTTCAATCACTTAATCTCTTTTCACTCTTTAATCTGGTGTATTTATTTTTAATGTAAAATGATACAAAAGGTTTGGCATATAAACCATACAGAAAACCTTGCCCGAGTGGGTCATGTGATGATTGCCTACTAATCAAGATTACATAGGACTTATAACTCAATGAAGAACAGAAATACATATCAAGATAAAATACAGCATAATTTTAAGTTTGAACTATGGCCTTTTATGTAGAACTTTATCCTTTGAATTTTTAAACCAGTTTTTATTGAAGACTTCCTAGATATCTGAATGTTTCTTTGTTTAGGCTTCTTAAGTGATCATATTTAACATGTACTTATTTTGATGTTCTTATTTTCAGGAAATTTTTCTCCTATAGAACTTGACAGTGTGCTGTTAAAGAACACTGACTCTATAGAATTGGCTTTGTCATATGCTAAAACATGGTCTAAATATACTAAGAACATAGTGTCATGGGTTGAAAAAAAGCTCAGCTTGGGTGAGTTATCTTTTAGAGTATTTGATTAACTTTGAAATGTAAGAGCTAAATTATTTGTGATTCATTTTCTACAGACTATAGGTATTATGATTCCAAATTATTTGTTTCATTGTAATAGAATTATGGTTTTTTTCTTGAAATAGGCTTTCTTATACTACATATACTTACTGAACATTTATTATAAGTTAACTAATAGTCCTAGTGACACAAATACAGAGTACTGTCTGCTTTTAAAGAAGTTACACTGTAATGAATGAAAAAGCATTATCAGATAATATGGTAAAAGGAGAAAAAATTAGCAGTGGGCGTATAAGCAGAAGAGGTGGCAGATTAGAAGAAACATCTCAGGAGCTAATAGTACCATAGTATTTTACAGCTGAAAAAAGTGTTTATATATCTATTACCTAATCTTCCAAAACTTAGGAAAAGTAGGCAAGAGAATAATTGTTATGCCCATTTTACTGTGATTTTCCTAAGGAGCATAATAGCAGATTTGCTTAAGAACATGTGGCATACTTGGAGGAAAATAGAATATACTGCACCTGTGCTCTTTCTACTTCATTGGTTTGGTTTTTTTTAATTATTCAGTTACATTTATTTATTTTGTGTGTATGTGTGTGTGTACATGCTACAACATGCTTATAGAGGTCAGAGGACCACTTTTAGTGAGTTTTCGCCTTCTACCATGTGAGTCCAGGGATCAAACTAAGGTCATCAGATTAGGGTTGGTGGCAAGAGCCATCTCACTGGCCCTGCATTTTTGAGTATATGTGTGTGAGGGTTTTGCTTACGTGTATGTATGTGTACCAAATTCATGCTGCCCAGTGTCCATGGAGGCCAGAAGAGAGCTTTGGATCCCCTGGACTGGAGTTACAGGTGGTTGTAAGTTGCCATGGAGTGCTGGGAACTAAACCTGGGTGCTCTGCAAGAGCAGACAGTGCTCTTAATATGCTGAGCCGTCATCCTTCTAGCTCCTTGAATTGATTTTAATAGGGAATGCTAATCAGAATCTTCTGAATAGCCTTGTAAAGTGGGAGTTTACAAGCTTGGGTTTCATCATCCTAAATTGATGAAGGTCTAGGCAAGTGTTATGTGGGACGTTTCCCAGTTGATTCTGATAAGAAACTACAGCTAAGAATTGCTACCTTATGACATGATGCATACTAGTATGTGTGGTCACCTTTCATCTGAAGAGGCACAAATAGTTTCAGAGTATATAGAGAAAAAAAAATGTTTATTGTGCCTTCTTCAATCTTTCCAGAATTGGAGTCCACGAGAAATATTGTAAAATTGGCAGAGGCAACTAGATCTAACATTGGAATACAGGTAAGTGTTCTGTGGTCTTCTTGGGTTCTATAACAGGAGACTAATCAGATGAACCCTGAATAGTGACTTCTGGAATTTAAAAACTTCGGTTCATAGAGGAAAGAATATGCTAGTTGATCTTTCTGTTGAAAAAAAAAAGTTTTAAATTTAAATGGCTGTTTACTATGACTGAAACTAGAAAATTCACAATTTTAAACAAATAATTATTTTGATAGCTGCTAATTTTGTTAACTAATTTATAATTTTAATTTTAATATTCTCATGTAGATACATTTGGAACTAGTCATTTTTCTGTGGGGAAAAAAAGTAAATCTAAAAGTTCTCTTTTTGAAGAAGAATGGGGTCAACCTAAAACTCTAATACTGTTTTTAGTTTGTTTTTATTTTTATTTTGGCAGTGCTGGGGATTGAACCTAGAGCCACAGCATGTTAGGCAAGTGCCTCTAGTGCCACTTCTATTACAAAATTTATCTTTCTATTTTAAATTCTAGGAGTTTATGCCACTACAGTCTCTATTCAACAATGCTCTTCTTAATGATATACACAGCAGTCACCTTTTACAACAAACAATTGCAGCTCTCCAGGCTAACAAATTTGTGCAGGTAAAATTAATACATATAGCACACATTTTTTAAATAGCAGCATACCTTTATAAGACAATGCTTTTCTTTCTTTCTTAATACCCTTGATAGCCTCTACTTGGAAGGAAGAATGAAATGGAAAAACAAAGGAAAGAAATAAAAGAACTTTGGAAGCAGCAACAAAATAAACTGGTTAGTACTGGAGTTTCGTGTACCCATTTATGAACCGCTACAATCATCTGGAGTATATAATTTTTTTTCCAAAATGCTGTTTTATATAAGTCTGTTTAATGCTCTTTTCTGTGTAGCTTGAAACAGAGACAGCTCTCAAAAAGGCAAAATTGTTGTGCATGCAGCGGCAAGATGAATATGAAAAGGCAAAATCTTCCATGTTTCGTGCAGAAGAGGAGCAGCTGTGTTCAAGTGGTGGATTGGCAAAAAATCTCAACAAACAACTAGAAAAAAAGAGGAGGTTGGAAGAGGAAGCTCTTCAAAAAGTAATCATTTTTGTACTTTGAAAGCTTAATTAGTAATAGCCTGATAAAGGTTTGGTTCTCCAACTTTAGCGTGTGTCAGGATCACCAAGAAAGCTTAATCAGATTGCTGGGCCCACCCAGAGTTTCTGCTGTAGTAGGTGAGGGGTGGAACCAGACAACCTGCACTGCTTACAAGTTACCAGATGAGAGAGGTGCTGGCAGCAGAACCCCACACTTTAGGAACACTGTGCCAAGATAGTCTGTGAAAGAAACATCTTAGAGAGGGTGGTGGTTTCTTATCGTCGACTTGATTTTTCAGAAGGGCCACTTTTTTGGCAAGCCTGTGTGCTACATGTGTGCAGATTCCAGCACCTGCCAACCAGGATAAGCCAAAACTTTGTATCATTTATGGAATGTAATTGGATAAACTCTGTAAAATAAATGGTAAAAATATTAAAAAATATTTTAAATAAAAGTGGAGACTGTTTTGTATTCAAACAATGTAGTTACCGCAAACTATCAGCAATTAAATCACTGACCAAAGCATTACTACTTATCTTTAGGATATTCTATTTAAAATAAAGTTTATAGTATTATAGTTAAAATAGAATATTAAAAATAGAATATTTCAGAATTTCATATATAAGACTTCAGTTGTTTAAAGTTAGCTTTACTACAATAAGTTTTTTTTTAATGTAAATTCTAGTGGTGAGTGTTGTTTCTCTCTCTGCTATTTCTGAAGGTAGAAGAGGCGAATGAGCACTACAAGGTCTGTGTAACAAATGTTGAAGAAAGACGAAATGATCTAGAAAATTCCAAAAGGGAAATTTTAACACAACTTCGGACACTTGTTTTCCAGTGTGATCTTACCCTTAAAGCCGTAAGTGATTTCTTCAGTATTTGAAGGCAAGAGGGGGAGAAAAGTCTTAGTATCTGTAGAAGGAGAGATGAACGAGGAGTCAAGTTTGTCGAAGACTTAGATTCCAAGACTAATGGAGCAGGTGAATGTTGAGTTTCCAGGAGTGATACATAATTTGAGTTACCTTTTTTCTTCTCTTTATTTATTTACTTATTTTTATTGAGACAGAGTATTTCTGCATAGCCCAAGCTGGTCTTCAACTGGTGAGCCTTCTGCCCAGCCTCTGAGTGCTGGAATTACAGGCTTGTACCACCATGCTTGTTTTTTGTTAGGTTTTTGTTTCTTTTTAAAATTACATTTAATGTGTGTGTGTGTGTGTGTGTGTGTATGTGTGCAGATCAGATAACAATTTGTAGGAATCTGTTCTCTCTACCATGTGGGTCCTGGAATTGAGCTCAAGTCATCAGGCTTGGTGGCAAGTGCATTTACCCACTTAGCCATTTCTCCAGCTCAACCTTGCCTTGTTTTATGAGTTACTTTTGATCTGTCCAACCTCTTTTCCCTTGGAATGATGATTTGTTTGGTTAAAATTGAAGTGTGAGAGTTTGTAATTGCCTCCAATCTACTATCTTTCTTGTCTTAGTTGTTGAAATTGATTTGATCACTGAAACTTGTGTTTCTGCTATGAGATATATTCTTCAGAAATTGAGTAAACTAGATAATAAAATGGAGCCCATTGATTTTATTTGACAAGGAAGCAGCCTACCTTCACAATTTCATTATGCTTTAAAATATTTTGTAAATGTTTACATGCAGTAGGACTTTTCTGGCATGTAGTTGACAAGTTTTGAAACATGTATAAATCTCTGTAACTACCATCACAGTCAGGAATCAGAAAATTCCATCACTTCAAAGAAATTTCATTCATGTTGCCAAATTTGCTGTCAAATACTCCACCTACACCTAATCCTTAGCAGTACTGATGTTCCATCAAAATGTTAAAATCATCTTGTCTGTTTCTATATATTTTTTCCTACTTTTCCAGAATATCCCATAAATTGAATCATAGTATGTAACCTTTTCAGACAGGCTGCTTTTATACAACCTAATTCCTTTGAGATTCATCAGTGTTAGGCATGTTCCAATAGTTCTTTTCTCTGTATTGATGATTAATAGCTAGCTCCCTGTATGACTGTATCACAGTGTTCATCCATTCACCAGCTGGATATTTGTGTTGTTTCTAGTTTAAGGTTATTATGAATAAACCTCCCGGAATATTTGTTTATAGGTGTTTGTTGAACATACTTTTGATGTTTTAGAGGAAATATGCAAGAATGAGATTACTGTTTGGTATGTCAAATACATGATTAACTTAAGAAACTACTAGACAGTTCTCCAGAGTGGCTGTAATCAGTAGTGTATGAGAATTCCAGTTCTGTGTCCTTGACATTTGTTACTCATTTTAGCTGTTCTAATAGGTGTGCAGTATATCTAATTGTGGTTTTAATTTGTGCTTCCAGAATGATTAATAATACTAAGAATATTTTCAAGGGCTTATTTGCAGTTTGACTACTTTAAGCTTTTCTTGTTTTTTTTTTTTTTTTTTCAAATTTTTGACGGTTGCATCTATTTTCTTCTGTCCGAAAGCTTTTCTTATGTACTTGAGGCAGTGTCTTTTAGGGAAAAGTTTTCAATTTTGATGGGTCTAGCTTATTCTTATACAAGTCATGCTTTTGACATAACCCAAGGTCACAATTTTGTTTTGTACTAAAAATTTTATAGTTTCGTGGTTTTACATTTACGTATGTGATCCATTTTGAGTTAATTTTTGTGGGAGGTATAGATTGAGGTTGGTTTATTTTGGCATATAGATGTTATATTAAAATTACACCTAAAGGATTTTAATTGACCAAAGTTGCCAAATACAGCACACAAAGGTCAGTGATAACAAAAGAATTTGTTTGTATTTCTCAAAAGAAGAGGAAACATACCACACCAGGCCACAAAGGAAATGCCAAGTTGGGCAGGCAGAAGCAAGAAAGGGAAAGCTGAGTTTAAGAGTCTTTATTGGAAATGATTTGTGATGGTTTGAGTGAGAATATCCCCCATAGGCTCTAAGCATTTGAACACCAAGTTTTAAAATCAGATGAGTCCAGTTTTATTATTTTTGAGAATTGTGTTTAAGTCCTTTATCTTTCTATATAAATGCTAGAATCAGCTTGTCTATATAAAAATATTTTAAACCTTTTCATTGGAATGTATTAAATCTTAGATAAGATTGTGAAGAATTAATTATGTATGTAGCATCTGAATTACATCAGAGTTTTTGTCAGTTCAGCACTTGGTCCTCTTGAACTCTTCAGCAGCTGTGATTACCCTCCCCAGATAAATATCAACAACAGACCCAAGAGACAGTTCCACGTAAGTCTAGTTTGGAGAACCAATCAATGTAACTGGAGCATGAGCAGCCTACAGAAGCTAAACTGTAAAGGAATAGTCTTTCTCCCCAGCAACTGCTAACTGCTTTATATATCCCCTAAGAGGAGGAGGGCCTCCTGCGCCCCTCCCCCACAGCAACTGTTAACTGCCTGTATATCCTTGGGGAGGAGAAGGGAGGGTAATCACAGCTGCTGAGAGTTCAAGAGGGCCATGTCATGCCCAGAGGACAGCATTCCACAACAAATTTTGAATGCTATCCTAGGTATTTTCAGTGTTGCTTTGTGTGACTCTGGGCCCTAACATTGGTTCTAAAAAATACATGTATAGCAGCATTTGATCTAGTTAGGTTCACTCCAGGAGCAATGTGGCTCTCTTCCTGATCTGCCTGGAAGAAGTAGTGGTCTCCTCTGCTACTCTCCAGAGTGGGAGACATTTCTTAATCATTAAATGCTGGGGGGATGGTGCAGGGATAAAGAGAAAAAAAGCAACAGGAATTTCAATACTCTACCAGCAGCGTGTGAACACAGATGATCTGATCATGAAGGAAGATTCCTTCAGACTTTATGATCTCTGCTCAGCTACTGTAACTCCCATCACTGCTGCAGATTGTGCCCTAAGGATTTGGGTTTGCTTGAGGAATAGGGCAGGAGAAGATGCACCAGAGAAATCAGGCATTCTCCTAATCTTGTCATATTTTCTAGCCCACCCTATCCTTTTAGTTTTTTTGGTCCACAGAGGCTCTCTCTTGAAACTCTGTGTCTGTACCTGGTGTCACATGTGTGGCAATCAAGCTTTGAGTAAGATCTGAGCATAGGCTGGAAAATATGATGGAATAAGAAGAGCAAGAATATTTAAGTTACCTTAAATAACTTAAAAGGTTTATAAAAGCCCCTTCACCTCAAACCATAGCTGATAATAGCTAAGACTGGGTGTATCCTGACTAAGGTGTTTGTCTACATTAACTCATCTAGTTCTCAAAAAGCCCTACTAAGTAAATAAAAATTCTTTAACTCCATTTTACTGAAGCAGAAACAAAAGCATAGAAAGCCTTTCTTCCAGAGCGTGGTCTTTGGACCAGTCACATTGTCACTACTCTGGTAGCCTATAAGTAACATAGAATCTTGGATTTTTGAACTAGACTTTTGAAATCAGAATCTACATTTGAAGAAAATCTCCCAGATGGTTCATATCTTAACTTTCAAATCACTGGTTCAAGGAAAGCAAGTGCAGCTTCCATTAGCCCAAGAATGTTCTGATTCAGTTCATTGTTGACTTAAACTGTATGAAATAGAGTTTGAATTCCCTTTGTCAATTGAAGGACTTGGGACACAAACTGTTCTGTGGTGTACACATTTCAAATACTATTTATGCTTAAGGAAATGTGTATAGACTAAGGAAAGGACTCAAGTGAATCAGGAGCTCATCCTATTGTCTGACAAATCCTGAACATTAAAATAATCAAATTTTGGCATTCATTCATATTGTTTTTCTTGAATAATATTCACCACACAGAGTCCAGAGTAGTGCTTTAGAGAATGAATCAGATCACACTTTGCTTAAAATCTTAGCTGACTTGCAATTATGCTTTCCCTAAGATTTTAGCATGGTTTAGGTCACTGCTACCTTTTCTGGCCTTGTGTCAAATAGTTCTGCTTCCTTCAGTGTGCCTGTTGACCTTTCATCTGCTTCTTGAGCACAGGCTCCATCCCGCCACCTCTTCCTTTTGTTTGAATTAGCCTTCTCCCCGAGGCTATGTCCTGGCTCCTCCTCATATCTGGTCATAGTTCAAATGCTAGCTCTTCAGAGGATCTTTCCCTAACCTACCGTGGTGAAAATACCCTTTCCACAAACACATACACGGTGATACTCCATGAGTTGACATGCCTTTTTTCTTTTACATTTATTATTATTATTATTATTATTATTATTATTATTATTAATTATTATTTGTGGGTGTGGACTGCTTGCCATAGCATATGTGTGGAGGTCAGAGAACAACTTTTTGTGGTTGATTCTTTCTTCCACCTTTACATTTCAGCACTTAACTCAGGTTGCCAGGCAAGTGCCTTTACCAGATAAGCCATCTCACCAGCCTAAGTTGACATTCTTATGTAATGTTTACAGCATTTTTCAGTACCACAGAATATCTTGTTTAGATGATTTGTTACTTACTTTTGGCACCATGTTAGGATCATATAAAGACAGATGAAAACCAGGATCTCATCTATTTGTTTGCTGTAATATTCTAGAGTATAGGGTTTTGTGTGTAGATGTCAAATTTGTTAATATAAAACTTGGAGACATTTTATGAACCCTGACATATTATGTGACCTTTATAGCTGCTATTAAAGTTGTTACTGTAAATAGAGGGAGTAAAAGTATTTTTAAACAGTTATAGGAAGTTAGTAAAATGCTGTATCCCAGCTAATGAGACTAGGGCAGGAGCTCAAGTTCCAGGCTAGCATGGGCAACATAGCAAGACCTCATCTCAAATAAAGAAAATAGAAATGTAAAAAGGAAACATGAAAATGGTCAAAACAATGTTGGTCATGGTAGGAAGATAGTCTCCATCCATGTTTTTTATTTAGGAATTTAGACTGTTGTGTTTCAAAGTACAGAACTAGGGGTCCTCCGTTTTTCCTAAAGCTATTAAGCAGTAAGGATATGGGATTTATTTTGCATCACAGTGCACAGACCAATCCATCATGACTGGTCACGTTGCTTCCACAGTAAAGAAACAGAGAATGATGAGAGCTTATGCTCAGCAGTAGCTTGTCTTCTTTATACCGTCCAGGACAGCGCTCTGGAAAGAATGGTTCTGCCCACTTTTAGTGTGGGTATGGGACTGTGTTTTTAACATTCTAGTTTAAAACCAGTGTTACTGGAAATGATGGCTCTTGGGTACTAGATTAAAACTACTTTCTAAATTTCCAGCCTAAGTCATGCATAGTATCAGGCAATTTAGCATGCTGAGAGGGGCATTTAGTGTTGTGTATGTCATTTGTATGATCTTTTTATTGGTTTGATTATTGATATTAATGTTCCTTCACATAGCATTTTATATATGGTGAGTTATTTCTGCTCTTTTGTCTCTGTCTATGACCATAGGTAACAGTTAACCTCTTCCACATGCAGCACCTACAGGCTGCCTCCCTTGCCAACAGTTTACAGTCTCTCTGTGATAGTGCCAAACTCTATGATCCAGGTCAAGAATACAGTGAATTTGTGAAGGCTACAAACTCAAGTGAATTAGAAGAAAAGGTTGATGGGTAAGAATGACTGTATAGATGAAATTATTTTAAGAAAGAAAACATTTGTTAAGTGCCTGTTTGGTATAAGGAAGTGTCTTTTCTTACACTAAAATAGTAACTTTAAATTTTTTCTTATTGTTTTGTGGTTTCTTAGTACTTTAAGGAATAGATGTAACATACTTGCAAATGAAGCTTTCCATTTGATGCAGACCTCAGGGCTTTGAATTTTAAAACTCGCTTGGGAATAGCAAACGTTGGCCGAACATATTTTGAGTATTGCCAGATTTCCTCTACATTTGCCACTGAGGCTAGACTAGAAAAGTTTAATTGTAACATAATTTGTTGGACATTCTGTTGCTGCACCTCTTCTGTAGTTCAGCTGTTACAAGGACACATTACTTAAAAGCTTTATATCTCTTAAAAAGAAGTGGAACCATGTAATACAGTTCTTAATGGTTAATAAACTTACTCATCCTATATTCAGTAAATTAACAAATTTTTCTGAATATTCAGTAAAATGGACTATTGATACTGAGCTTTATGTTTTTCCCCTTAGAAATGTAAATAAGCAACTAGCAAATAGTGCCCAGACATCTGGATACGGACCTGCCGACTCTTTAGAGGATGTTGTGCGGCTTCCTGACAGTTGCAATAAAATTGAAGAGGACAGGTGCTCTAACAGTGCAGACATAACAGGTACCTTTTCATACCAAAGCAAACACTTGTTTACAAAACAGCAGACTACTCAAATGTCTTTATTAAATGAGCTCTGGAATTAGAAAATCAGGCCTTACATTGTAATTTTATGAGATCACTTACAATTCTAACCACTATACCTATCTCGGAAGCCCATAGCTACTCATTGTTAGGGAAATCTGAGTCATTTTATTTTATGTAATATTGTTATAAAATATACATATGGTTAGGTTTTTAATTTTATTCTTTTTTTAAAGGTCCTTCTTTCATAAGATCATGGACATTTGGGATGTTTAGTGACTCTGAGAGTACCGGAGGGAGCAGCGAATCTCGATCTCTGGATTCAGAATCTATAAGTCCAGGTACAAAAATATCTAAGTGTAGCAGTGAGAAGCCAATGAAAGATCAGAGTAGTCCATTTGGGATATTTTTTTAATGAGCATAAATATTTTTAGAATAAATTACCTTAAACATAGGAGAATACATAGACACGCTTTAGGGCCTCTTGCATATTATTCAAGTGCGCTACCACTGAGCAGTATCCCAAGCCTTTTTTAACGTTTCATTTTGAGATAGGTTCTCACTAAATTACCCATGCTGGCCTTGAACTCACTCTGTAGCCCAAGCAAGCCATAAACTTATGATCGCCCTCCTTCAACATCTCCAAGTAGCTACAATTATAGGCTTACACCACCAGGCCCAACTTAATTGTGTTTCTTTTTTGCTTCCTTTGTACGTGCTTCACAGCTCTTTTGAGATCCATGTTGGTGAGAATAACTGTCCCTATTTTCTCCACTATATAATAATTTAGTGAAGATTAATATCATTATCTGGGTTTTTGTAGTTAATTGCCATTATGAAAAATATGACAACTTTATTATTAGGCTAGTTGATCTGTCAGATATTTTATATAAAACATGAACAGAAAATACTACCTGTCTTTGTGAAGCTTATAATCTCAAATGTTTACTGTCAATGTTTACTGTCAGAACCTGATAGTAAAATGTCATTAGACTATATGGTCCTCAATTTTAAATTTATTTGGAAAAGTCATATTTGGTTAAATTCTTTTTGTTTCCAGGAATGAATGTCTTGCATCCGCTGTTATCCAGATTTTGAGACTAGAAGAAAAATTTTAAATTTTTAATTGAGGTTAATAAAATACCATGTAATTCTGAGAATATTATCATTACTTATTTCTGATATTCTTTAGTGAATAGTCAGGTAATGATATGCACAATTGTCTTTTAGGAGACTTTCATCGAAAACTTCCACGAACTCCATCCAGTGGAACCATGTCCTCTGCTGATGACCTAGATGAAAGAGAGCCACCTTCCCCTTCAGAAACTGGTATTGTGTTCATTTGAACTACGACCCACCAAACCAGCTGAGATAGTAGCACTGTATGATATTAGATTATCACTTTGTTATGTACAACTTAAATAGACCCCAGTAATTATATATGAGTATGAACTAGTAATGAGTATGAATTGATTAGATGGTTAAAATCCAGTTATAAGAATAAGGGTAAAACAGCTAGATCTAAAACATACTGGCATGTTATAAACTGCCGGTTATATGTGGTGCTCTTTCCTAAGTCTAACACAGCAGCTTACTGTAAAAAGGGTAAAAGTGCATGAGAAATTCTGGAAAAGCCCCTTCTAAAGTAATAGTGCAGGGGCAATGGGTATAAACTCAGTGGTAAAGCTCTTGCCTAGCATCCATGAGGCCCTGGGTTCTGTCACTAGCACTTCAAATAGTAACGATAATGAATAAACTATGCAGGAAACCAAGCAGGAAAAGCAGATAAATGTACTTCTCAAGGACAAGGAAAGTTGTAGATGCTGAAAGATATAAACGTCAGTTACCTTAATGTTTTGAATTAAACTCATGCAAATTAGTTTTATATCTTTGGTACATTCAGATATGTTTTGACAGAATTTCCTAAATTAATAGTATATCTCATCTCTAATATGATTATATAATAGAACTTGCTAGTATTATCTATGATGTTATAAGAAATTAAGCCTGCTGAGATGGCTCAGCAAAATAAGAGCAGTGGCTGCTCTTGCAGAAGACTGAGTTTGGTTCCCAGCACCGACGTGGCAAAGGTCTGAAACTCCAGGGGATTTGATGTCCTCTTCTGGCCTCCATGGGCATTGCATGCACAAGATACACTTACATAACATGCAGGCAAAACACTCATACACATAAAATAAAATTCAAAAAAAATTTTTAAAGACGAGCTTTATCTTTAATGGACATGATGCTCACATGCTGGCCTCATACAACTAGCTTTTTTCTTTTGAAGCAGTCATTTTTTTTTTCTGAAGAATGTAATGCCATCCATAAAATCACATCCCAACTCTGTTAAGGACATCTTAATAAAAATAAACTTGATAGTTCTGCAAACTTGCCATGGTGTCTTGGAATTCTTACTGGTTTGGTGGTAACTTACAGCTAAAGTATTTGATAAAAGTATATGGTTTATAAAGACCTATAAGCTGGATGTTTTTGATGTTAGAAACTCAGAATAATAGCTTTTTATGATATGTACATGATTGAAATGTTTAAAGATTATTCAAAATATAGTATCATTTGATACAAAATGTTGACACCTTGCTATTTTCATATACTATTTCTGTTATAAGGACCCAGTTCCCTCGGAGCATTTAAGAAAACACTGATGTCAAAGGCAGCTCTCACTCACAAGTTTCGCAAATTGAGATCCCCCACAAAATGCAGGGACTGTGAAGGCATTGTAGTATTTCAAGGTGTTGAGTGTGAAGAGGTAAGATCTTTTTTGGAATTGCACTAGCCCTGTTGTTTGTTGTTGCTTGGTTGGTTGGTTTTTCTTTCTTTACTAATTGTTTTAGGTTAGAATACAAAATGGTGGGTTTCATCATGATGTCTTCAGACATATATGTCATTGGTTTTTTTTTCAAAGTGTATGCTTTCTTGTTAAGATTTCTCTCATTTGGATCTTTTGCAAATACATTTTTAATAAATTATACCACAGTGTATCTTTTATTGTTTTAA